CAACAGCAAATGTTTCCTCTGATCTCAAAGCACAAGCGCATCTCAAGAAAGGTCACTGTACAGACTTCAGTGGCTCCTCTAAGCGTCGTGCACAGTGACTGACTGTCCAGGGGCAGTGGGCCTTGAGTTAAAGGACAGGGCAGCTTTCATCCCTAAAGCCAACAGCCTGAAACCAGACTCTTTATTGAGGTTAATTGTTACTTTGCAGTATTTTGTCTGCTCATGGCAGTGACGCCAGGTTGCTGATTTGGTTGTCCCGGAGATCAGATTCAGGTTTAGAGTTTGGCAGAGAAACTAGACCTAGCTTTCATGTCTTTTCATTGGCGATGCGGAATTGGGCTGAGCCAGGGTGTTGACGCAGTACAGTATGCTAAACATTCTGAGTGAACGCAAAAAACCAGCACGCCTTAAGCTATAGTGTTGCACACTCATTAAATACCCCAAATTTGTTGGATACTTTCTGCTTCCAAAGCTTGGCTTCTGATTGTCACCTTTTTGTTTTCTAGAAGTTAATCTTACCATTCTTTCCTGTCTCTTCGCCTTTAGTTATCCTTAAGGAAACCAATGGGAAAGAGAACTTAGAAAAGAACATCCTTAGACTGCGGAAGGATCAGAAAGGTTGGTTGAGCTATTGCTCATGTGACTAAAAGAGTATTTTAGATTAGAAGCCTGTTTCCTGTACTGAAACTAGAAGGACTAGAATCATCCTTCTATTCACTCTTCATCACTGGCCTCCCACCCTGCCCAGCGCGACTGCTGCTATCAGTAAGGGTGCCAGTGGTGACGTAGACCTGAGCCTGCTACAGGCTGGTCTGTGGCCACACGGCTGCCATGCAATGTTCCTTTTCACCCCGATAGCATTTTCCAGCCAGGTGTGTCAAAGCATCACAATGCCCCTAGGAGGCAGCTACGTTCTATTAGCCCTATTTTGCAGATGGGGAAATGACGGCACACAGGAGAATAAGTAACTTGCCCAAGTTGGGTCCGGAGCAGAGCTAGGAATTTAGAACCCGGAGATTTGCATCCCTGTCACCATCTCTGTTCACAAGGCCACTTCCATATGTTATGATTAGTTGTTCTCAATCAGTCCAGTGAGGGACTCTCTATACAATTACTATTGGCCCCCAAGCTTGTCACTCAGTCTTGCATGGAAGCTCGCCTGACCTGGCGGGTATGAAAACAGATCCCTCCTGAACTGGCATCTCTTGTGCGGTGATGTTGCCCTTGAGCTTGCGTGTGTGAACCGCACACTCCTGAATTTCTGGCTTTTCTCTGTAGAGTCAATGTTGAAGTTTTTGGTGACATGGAACACAAACTCTCGAAACTGCCATGAGGCTCAGGCTGTCCTTGAAACCCTCCTAAAGCACGAAGCGCCAGAGTGTCTCCTGCAGTATGAAGGGATTAAAACTGCTGTGGAATCCCTTCTGCCTTACACCGGTGAGTTAGAAAAGAGACCGTATCTCAGCTCCATTCAAATGTTGGCACAGTTGTCTCGCTCAGTGGCTCACTCTGCGCCTGATCTCAGCCATGCCCTAGATCCCGGTCTCCGAGCTGTGCCTCGGACACAGCTTGTAGACAACAATACACTATAGTGTTGCCAGCTGTATTGTCCTTCCATCCTCATACCAGTGCTATGTGGAATGAATAATTGCTTCCTGGCGTCTTATTATCAGCACTGAAACATAATTGTTCAAAGTCTGTGAAGATGATACACACTCAGCATCCTCTCCTTCCCCCGTTAGCCTGGGTCAGGGCAGAGAAGAGAATTCTCTCTGATTTTCCTTGAACTTAGCCATAATTTTTCTTTCCTCTTTACAGAGCGCCATTTCCAGAGACTCGGCCGCTTATTGCAAGCCTCCATGTTCATCGATTTCATGTGGCAAAATATGAGACTAGCAGATGTGTCAAAATGGGAAGAGGACATGAGTCTGTGACCTTTTATATGCTGTTTGCAGTATACTGAGGGGAATGACTGGCGAGCCAAGGACACGCACACTGACTGCAGTGCCGGACGCTAACATTAGTTGGCTTCCCCCCCACCCTCCCAAGTTGCAGTTTGAGTATTTTTGTAATAAATATTTCCAGTTTGATTTTATAAATGAGCGAGTCCAGTCTCGACTTGCTGTCTCCTCAGTGCCGTAGATAAGGAGGGGATAGGCTGCCTGCCCGAGTCTGACTCCTGCTGTGTCCGTTCTAGAGCAAAGGTCCTCTTATCATTAGCACTGCACCCTGTTGGGAGACCATCCCAACCCCCCACTTTCTGTCTATGCACCAGCCTGTATCTCTGCTCATTCTCCTCTGTATTGACCTCCGGGGAAGTATCCCTCGCTTGTGGTGAGCTTGCTAAGGCTTCAGCTCGCTTGTGGCTGTGTAGGTTGGGTGTTGGTGCACACCCTAAAGAAAGGGCTGTATCCTAGGGCATGGAAGGGGTGGGCATTACCAGCTTTCCATTCTACTCGAGAAAAAGACAGACAAACGCAATGTTTCCTGGGATGGATTCAGTAGACTTGCGTCACTGAAGCTGTTTGGAGGGTCATAGGAGCACACAGGTAAAGGGTAAAGTCCTAAATCTCATTGTTACTGCGCTGCTTGCTAATCTACAGCAGATGCGTCCCTAGAGAGTAGAGAGGGAGGAAGTTGCTTCTTAATGGCTTTTAATTTCTCTGTCTTGTCTGCATCTTTCTCCCTGTGAGAAGGAAACAGGAATTCCTCAAGTTGCTACAATGTATCGTAGCAGGAGGAGCAGTTTAAAGCGACTCATTCCCATAATAAGCGATTTCAGTCTTTAATCTTCAAAAGGAGCGGCTGCAGCACAAACTATACACTCAAAGGGTGTGCTTGTGCTGAGCTGTCCGAGTTTATAGGGACCGTCCCGATATTCAGGGCTGTGTCTTATATAGATGCCCCCATCCCCTGTCCTGATTATTCACACTTGCTATCTGGTCACCCCAGCTGAGATGCAGGAAGTGAATCAAGAGGGGCAGTGCCTGGGGGGAGTGGATAGGAGGCGAAGAGGTTGAAAAATAAACAGCAAGTACCTCCCATTTTAGTCTGGAAGGAAGTAAAGCCTAAGGCCTAGTCTTCACTTACCGGCTGGTCCGGCGGCACGCCATCGATGTTCTGGGATCGATCCCGGAAGTGCTCACAGTCGGCGCCGGTACTCCAGCTCGCCGAGAGGAGTACGCGGCATCGACGGGGGGAGACTTCCTGCCGCGTCTGGACCGCGGTAAGTTCGGACTAAGGTACTTCGAATTCAGCTACGTTATTAACGTAGCTGAATTTGCGTACCTTAGTCCGATTTGGGGACTTAGTGGGGACCAGGCCTTAGAAACCAAACTGAGAACTGCCCCAGGGCAGCCATGAGACAATTGCAATGCTGCAGGGATGCCAAATGAGCAGTCGCAAGATTCTGGAGGAAGGACTGTTAAAGAAATCACAGTCCATCCTGGGGCAGGCATCTGGCTGTTACCCAAGGTTATGGCCACGTGTTGAAATCTTTCTTTGCACGGGCAAACTGAATTCAGGCATTTCCTAACTTTTCCGTGTTTGACTTTGCAACCTTAATGTTCTTTTCATGTAGTTTTCGTCTGTAATTCTGTTCCTAGATGACTGGTTCCCTGTGCAGCCCCAGGGAGCTCTGACAATCCACAGGAGGTGAGGAGCTGCCCCAGGTTCCTAGGCTGTGCCCATCACCCTCAAAGCTCACCACCTTGGATTGCTGCCAAAATTTAATTCCTAAAACCAGCAGACCCTTGAAACATAAAATAAACCGGGTACTGTGTCAGAGTTCTAAGCAACAGAGAGAGGTGTTCTAGCATATGTTTAATCCAAACCGAGGCGTAAATATATGTAATTCAGAACGATAAATACCTTGCAAGCTGAACAAAAGAGCTTGGTTCATAGTGATCTCACAGGCCTGGCTCAGAAAGTCAGAATAACAGATTTATGGAAGGGTAATTAAATTACTGCTCGGAGGGGACAGCTTAAAAAAGCACCTGTGAATTAAAAATAGGTTTTTCCATGAGCATCTTCGCGAGTGAGTTTACAAGTCGGAATGGTTGTGTAAAGGGTGAATTTAAGTTAATATTAGAGAATTTTCATTGGCAGTCAACACCTAACTCATAAGGGGGAAAATTCACACCAGAGACCTGATCCAAAGAATGACTATCCTCCACACAGATAACAAATGATACCATGGGATTTATGCGCCCAAGCCCGTACGGACCTGCCTTGGAAGGATAAAGCCAGCCAGCCCAGCTGCCTAACGGCTTGAAATTTCAGTTCTGGTGGCCGATCGGCAGATCCAGCGTGATTCACAGAAACGGTTTGACCAATACGTTGAATTCATTCAAGATTCAACAACATCCCAAATTGACCTGCGAGCAGTTTGGAGACAGAGCGGAGGACCGGACAGTTTGAATAAATGGTTCCTATGATTTATTCACTTGGTTCTACCAAAATAAGCGAAAGGAAGTCTGGGTTAGAGAACGCCCTCTCCTCCCATCAAATGTGATGGTTTCATCCAGTAGTGTCTGATTGTTTACAAGGGTGGGGACTGAACCGCCTAATTCTGCAGTGGCGCCTAAGAGAATACATGTGCTGAAGTGTGTGAGATGTGGTTACAATGTGTAAACCAAACTGAGCCCAACCTGCACTGATCTAACACTGCACTTTCGGATAAGTCTTTTAGAAGAAGGCTGGTCTGGTGGTTTGGTTGCTGGCCTTGCACTTCCAAGATGAGGGTTCGATTTCCTACTCTGATTTTCTGCGTGACCTTGACCAAGTCACTTAGCCTCTGGGCCTCAGTGATGGGGTAAAGCAATCATTAGGTCGATGGCTGGGATTAATTGAACTCTAAAGTTTAACCTCTTACCCAGTTAGTGGGCCAAAGCCTCAGCTGGCGTAAACAGCTCTACTGAAGTCAGTGGAATGACCCCATTTACGCCAGTTGCGGATCTGGTACAGTATCTCCAGCAGGGACAATTCTGCGGCATTCCAGCCTCCAGTGCTTCCCGTGTGAACAGCGAGACTAGTGCATTAACGCAAACCAGCCAGTCAAGCAACCACGCAAGAGCAGCTTCCAACCAGGAGTTAAAGGCCGAGTCCATCCTCTCAGCACACGACCATCACGAGCGCTGAGCTTCCTCCGTCCGCTTCCCGCTGTGGCTATTAAAAGATGGCCGAGCAAGGATAATGTCAGGAATTTCAGCCACTGCAGTCTCCTCCCTGCAGCTCAGGGCGATAACGGACTCTCATCTGAGGCACACGTGCGCTAGAGCATCCGTCGGCTTTGCACACGTCTCCCCTCCGGGGTGGAGGTGAGGTGAGGAATGCAGGTTTGGCCTGGGGGCAGCTCTTTGCACGGCTCTCTTGGTCACAGTGCTGCATTTCTGGAGGATTTCCTGGACCGCGGGTCGCGCCGGCAGCTTGGGGACGCTGGCGGAAGAGTCTGGGCTGTGAAGGAAAGAATCTGAGTCACTTGGAGACTCCTCCTCAAAGCCAGAATCATTCCTATCCTTGCTGGTGAGGTGAGGAGCTTTGCTGCTTTGACTGGACGAGGCTTGACCTAGGCTCGCTTGCAGGAGGCCAGCCACGGCCTGCTTGACTCCAGGCAAAGACCCTGATGAGCCTGCCTTCCGATCCTGGCTGAAGCCGTGTTCGCTCCCACTCCCTGAACTAACAGACAGACTGTCTAGCTCACACGTGAGGCTGGAGCTGGCTGCGCTCTCCGCCCCAGCCCGCGGGCCGCTCAGAGATCTCGATCTCGTTCTGCTCAGAGGATCTCTGCTCTTTATGGGCCTCTCCTGCACTGAGCGAGTGGGGGGCACGTCCCCTGCCGGCGTCTTGCGCGGGGGGAGGGAACTCCAGCTGGAGGGGCTGGCGGCCTGCAACAGGTTAGGGGTGGAGACGCAGAGGCCAGTGTTCACCATCGTCTGGAACTTGCTGTGCGGGTTCTTATACGGCTGGAGGAACATGGAGGGGATGTAGCCAGTGCGCTCATTGTACCTGAGAGAAAGGCAGGGGAAAGCAACACTTAAGGATAAGGGCAACTTCACGCGCGCGCCAAGCATGCCGGGGAGATCATGCCCTACGGACACTCCCATCCCTGGGAAATGCAGCCAGGGGGTGCTAGGTACTAGCCACGTATGCCAGACCTGGGAGACAGCGACAGAACTTGGGGGGAGGAGGGGAGGCTGCCATTGAGGGCAAAGGGAAGACAAGGCACGAGCTCAGAATTGGTGACACCAAAGCCAGGGAAGACCTGGTTGGTCCTGCTTTGAGCAGCGGGTTGGACTAGGTGACCTCCTGAGGTCCCTTCCAACCCTGATCTTCTATGATTCTATGACAGATGGGACCCATGGGACGTGTAGAACGGTGTGCTTTTGGGGGTGAATCCATCCCAAGGGGGCAGGGCCCTGCAAGCTGCCCTGGCGGGATCCATGCCAGCTTTCAGCGGACAAGCACAGAGGGGTCCTCGAGGTGCTGCCAGGGTAACCGGATCGATGCCCACGCAGATTCTATAGCTAGGATAGTGGTGTACTGGGTGCAGGGGTCGGTGGCTGCCATCCCAGCCCATAGGCATGAATTCCAGGCCAGTCTCCGATTACTTCCCCACACACAGTCTAGTCACTCGGGGTGGGGGGAGAGATGGATTTCGCCCTGGAAGTTCCATTGAGAATTCTTAATTCTCCCAGTGGGAGATGCTCTTTCCTCCCAAGCAGCATGAGACAGGCTCCCCAGCACAGGGCTAGCCACGCCCCACGTGCAGTCCTTCAGTCCCTGGACCCCCGCCCCGCCCCCTTCAAGGGAGTCCAGCCCGTTACTGTGTATCAGACATAAAGGAAGGGGAAAGATCCCTGCCTGGGTGAGCGAGTTCCCTAAATCAGTCGGGGTGACTGCCAAAGGCTGAGAGGTCCCTGCATACCCTCCCCAGGGATGGGAATGAGTGAGCCACTGCTAACGGGCTCTCTCACGGAGCGCTGATTCAGAAGGGGGACGGGGGAAGAGAACCTCCTTACCAGATCAGCCACCAGCCATTGTCAGATTTCTCTAGCACCTCCACAACTACCCCAACATTCAGAGAGAGCTCATCGGCCTT